TGCCTCATGGTTGCTATCACCCTGCTTTGCAGAATCAATCATGTTCTGTTTCATGGTTATCCATTCATTTTCAAACTCCTTATTTATGTATTGTGACATTAAAAATCAGAGATACTGTGGTGTTGAAATATTAGCATATATGTTTTTTGCTTCTGTGAATCAGGTTGTTGAATCTTTTCTAAGAATTGTGAAGGAAATAAAAGATTTATAAACTTGGGGTGAACCTATTGGCTGTATCAGTAACTACTCACCTTTGGTTAGTTCTAAAGGTTTTTTTTTTTTTTTAAGTGTTGAACCATTTTACTTAAGAAGCAGATATTCCTGCCCTTCCATATAATTCCCCAAACATTTTTACTTAGTCTGATAATCTAAAGGGTGTACAGTATAATTTAATTAACTTAAATTTCTCTTACAAAGGAAATCAGTGTTACTTCACATAGAACTGGACTTGTTTTGTGTCTTGTGAAAACTGTGTATTATGTTTCCATTGAGCTTTTCATCTTTTTAAAAAATTAACTCCTGATAGTTCTTTAAGTAATCTGTAATAGCAGTCCTCTCCATTTTTCTCTTTATACATCACAATTTATTCTTTATACATATGTCTCCTTTATCATATGTATTAGTGTAGTTAGTAGATACACTAAGGTGTTTTGGTTTGTCAATTTTTTTGTTCATGTATTTACTTTTTTTAAAAAAAATATGTTTTAGTTAATTATACATGACAGTAGGATGCATTTCTTCACTGTGATATATCATACATAGTTGGGATATCATTTCTCATTTTTCTGAGTGTACATGTTGCAGAATCACATTGGTCATGCAGCCACATATATACATACAGCAATACTAGTGTCTATTTTATTCTGCGGTCCTTCCTATCTCCCCGTCCCCTCCCCTCCCCTCCCATCACTTCCCTCTTTATTTTATTTTTCTGACAGCATTTTTCTGGACCTCACTGCTCAGGAGGTGTTGGTACTGAAACGCCTACTTTGAGAACACAGTAGTCGTCTTGCCTTTCCCACTTGAAGCTGAAGCCATGGAAATTTACTTTCCCCTTTGGTGTGAGAAGGGAATGACATTCATTTTCATTACTGAGCACCCTTCATCAGACAGCCCAGCCTTCACTGTAACTCCAATTCAGCATGAAGAAGCGCCGTGCTCAGGTGTTCATGTCTCCTGGACTCTCTTTTCTAAAGGGGCTCTGCTGGATCTCTCCCTGCATAACCTCACATCCTTGACGACTGCAGCTGACAGTCAGCAAAGCTGAGTTTCCTATGGCAACAAACAATCCCTAGAGATTTTTACTTACAATCACAGAGGTACCTTGTCCTCATATCAAAGTATTTTCTATTAATTTGCATTTTTGGCAACAATATTGATAATTAAGACTCTTAATTTACACCTACGACCTCTAATTGTTACTTGCAATGTGTTTATGTGCTACTACTCTGAAGTTGCAAAAGTGCAGTGGTAAAATTCTAAAAAGGATGTGAAATGTCTGTGAAAGTCCATTCTGATTACGGACAATATATTAGAAGCTTTTGCTTATGGAATGCAAAAGAAATTCAAATTTCACAGAGCCATACATAGGCTCAGCCTTAAAAGGTGGGTATTTTTATGGTTCTTTCAGTACCTAATCAGTTACTAGTCTCCTAAGTGTCTCTCTAGAATTCCCAAAGTTCATCCAAATGTCCATTTGGCATCCTCGTGTGAATGCCTAATAGACATCTTAAAATCAGCATTTATATGGGAATCATGGTGTTGACCTTCCCGTGTGCTATGCCCACACAATTTCTGGTCCTCTTTGATGGCGACTCCGTTCTTCCAGGTGCTGAGCAGTTTCTTCACTGAGCATCAGCCCCCAGTCCTCTCTTTCTTGAATGCCCTAAGCACCATCATTGGGAAACCCCGTTGTCCACACTGTTGAAATGTACCTGCATTCAGCGAAAGGCCTCATCTCCACAACTGCTGCTCTCTCTCCGTCCCTCGGGTGCGCCCCTTCAGGGTTTGTGCAGGAGACCAAAAGAGTTGGCTAATGAGGAGCTTTGGATATTGAAGCCCCAAGGGCCACGGAGATGACCTGTGACCACCCACTCCACGCTGGCCCAGGTGAATATGTAGCTCCCCTGGCCCTGGGCTCAGCCGCATCCTTTCCGCACAGGAGGCAGGTACTGCACTGTGTCCGTGTCCCTGAGAACAGAGCTTCCATCTTTCTCCTTCACTGCATTGAAGAGCCATGTCCGTGCTCAGTGTTGGCACCAGGTAATCTGAAGCCTCCTGGTTTATGTGTCCCTGTGGGGACAGGTCTTTGTCTGTCCGTCCATCTGGGGCAGTGGTGAGGTAAAGACCTGAGGAGGAGGAGCAGAACTAGGTCACCTGCAGGGTGTCGCCCTGACTGTGCCTCCTCTGCACAGGTTTGCCACCTCTTGTGCCCCAGCACCCAGCGGCTTTCCTCCCACTAACCCCTCACTCTGCCCCGAGTCCAGCGCTGCCTTCCACACCCACAGCACTCTGCCCCTGCCGTGGTTGTGATTTGTTCTAGAATTCTCTAACCTTTTCTTTCATTTACTTTACTAAGGGCAAAGGTCTGTGGCCAGCTTCTAGTAACTTTTTCCTTCCTGGCTCATAATTCCCTTTGCAGAGCAGGTCTTGACCAGCACTGCCTCCTGTTCATGAAAATACTGTGGAAGAGCAGGTGGAGAACAAGGGCCATCCCAAGGCTGAATCCCATTGATTCAGCTTTATCTTGGTGCTAAGCTAGGAACTGTTACAAAACAGCACAGCATAACCTCGGAGACATGAACATAACAAAGGCTTTGTGTTCCACTCCATTCTCCTTCCTTTTGCAGACGCTAAACCAGGTTTTAATTAAATTTTTCTTAACATGTTATTTTAAGTTTACTTAAACTTTGCTCATTTTATGTGTGTGTGTGTGTGTGTGTGTGTGTGTGTGTGTGTGTGTTTGTATGGAGATATATATATATATATTTAGACCAGGACGCAAGAAAAGACCACTGACTCCAATTAAAATCAAATTAAAGCAAGCTTATTATTTCGACTGGCCGGGCTGCCTCTCCCTCCCAAAATGGCAGAAACAAGACAGCAGCAGCAGCTTTCCTGCAGCCCAGCTTTATAGCCCAGAAAGTTACACAAAGGGGGGTTACAGATAACAGAACTCTGACAAGCATCACACTAATGGTAGTTTACATTTTTTGCTGGCCCCAACATCAGAATTTATGAGGACCATTAGAGCCTCAGAGAGGGTCGTTGTCTGGCCAGGGAATGCCAATATTTATGAGGTGTCACTAAAGTTTCAGAGAGGGTTGCTCTCTGGTCAGAGAGCCAGGCATGGGTGAGGTCAAGGCATGGGCAGGCATTCCAAGCAGGTTCAGAATTTGCAGTAATTTATAGTAAAGCCGAAATTATCTTTTCTTTGTGACGAGATTGCTCCCAATTTTAAGAAAAGATCAGGTTGGGTCTATCAATATATATATATATTTTTCCAGTAATTAAACATGACCGGCAGTTAGAGAAAGGAAAAATAAATTGTGATATAATAAGACATTGGGACAAAGTAGGGTAGTTAAGATTAATGAACAAAAGAAAATTGTACCAAAACTAAGAGGTGATTAAACATGTTTTTTTTTTCAAAATAAGAAAATTCCATGTTATGTACATGACGTTTTTGTGTATATAAAATGTCTTCTTAGTGCCTTGTGGTTATACATAACAGTGGGGGTCCATTTTCACATAATGCATGGATTATGATTTGCTCCATTTCCTTCCCCAGGACTTCCTCTGTACTGAAAGCACAGAGGAATAATGTATATCAACTTCACTAATCTGATTCTCTTGAGGAAGACAAATGTACAATCCTCATATTATTAAGGATATGGAAAATGAATATGTATTACTTATTGTTTTCAACTAATAATGCAAAAATGGCAATAACTTTTAATTAAGTGTTGAATGGCCCACACCCAGTTCTTTATTCTTTTTGATCTGACTTTTGAGTACCTGAGATGTTTATATAATTAAAATTTTCATATCTGTGATAATTCAACACTTCAAATTTTTATCATTCTTTGGATGCATTGTTAGGAAAAGTCAGTTTTCTCTTTTAGTTTTTAAATTATTTCAGTTAACACTTGCACTGCTGTTGTGTTTGTTTTCATTTCAAGACACTTTACTGCATGTCTATGAGAAACACACAGGAACGTCATGAGCTTTGTTCAGGTGTCCTGACTCTCTATGCAAGCTTGCAGGTTGCTGGTGAGCATCTCAGTACGCTGAGGCTTCCCTGATGTTTTCATTTATCAAATAAGGATATTTTGTTTATCTTTCATCTCCCCACATTTGTTCCACTCCTCTCTTCCCTCCTATAATGAACTGTGCCTGGTGTCCTAATTATATCTGTGCCAAGAGCAAATCACAACAGAAATACTAATAGTGTCATGGATCTCAGCCACTATTGTTGAAGACTTGACTTCCCATTACTCACCCATTACTCCAATTTGGTTTTATAATCGTTCCCCAAAATACAAATAAGGAGTCAGATGCTTCTTGCATAAATCATGAACTTTCCTTGTTTACCAACCAAGCATTGAAGCCAGAATGAAAGCCACGTGTCTATGAGTTGAAATCTTTATTTTTAATCTATTACAATTTATTTTATTGGACCTTTTTAAGTATACATGACAGTAGAACATATTTTGACATACCATACATACATGGAGTTGAAATGTTGATTAAAGCTGTTATTGATTTAGGTGTAATATTGTTTGTTTATTCATCTACTGTTCATTTAAGGATTGGAGAATTGTCAAGAAAAAAGCCACATATCAGTTGCTTGTTTGTTCCCATTAGTAGGACAGAGTAGGAATGGGGGCGGTATTAAAGAATAAAATTAGAACAGTCAGATAGTTGGTAGAGTGGAAGTGAGAAGGACAGGAGGCTGTGAGCAGGGGGTGAGAAGAGTGTAACATTTACTTCACCTCATGATGCAGACACTGAACTTTCCTAATACGGAGGTTTGTGTATCCATTATCTGTCCCATCACCTGTATCTTCCCCATCAGGCTCTCCAACAGCACGGATTCAGAAAACCAAGCGGGCACAGTAGAATTTCTCCTCCTGGGTCTCTCAGAGGACCCAGATCTGCAGCCCGTCCTCTTTGGACTGTTCCTGTTCATGTACCTGGTCACAGTGCTTGGGAACCTGCTCATCATCCTGGCCATCATCTCTGACTCCCACCTCCACACCCCCATGTACTTCTTCCTCTCCAACCTGTCCTTCAGTGACATGTGTTTCATCTCCACCACGGTCCCTAAGATGCTGGTGAACATCCAGAGACACAGCAAGAGCATCAGCCACACAGGCTGCCTCACCCAGGTCTGCTGTGGTGCAGGTTTTGCTGGATTGGAAAACTTTCTCCTTGCAGCAATGGCTTATGACCGTTACGTGGCCATCTGCCATCCACTCAGGTACACAGTCATCATGAACCCCCGCCTGTGTGTCCTGCTGATTCTCTTGTCCTTGACCATCAGCATTATGTATGCCCTGCTCCAAAGTTTGATGCTACTGAGGCTGTCTTTCTGCACAAACCTGGAGATCCCCCACTTCTTCTGTGAACTTGTTCAGGTCATCAAGCTGGCCTGTTCTGACACCCTCATCAATAACATCCTGGTATATGTGATGACTAGCCTGCTGGGTGGTCTTCCTCTTTGGGGGATTATTTTTTCTTATATTAAAATTGTGTCCTCTGTTCTGAAAATGCCATCATCTGGGATAAAGTCTAAAGCCTTTTCCACGTGTGGATCTCATCTCTCAGTGGTCTCCTTGTTCTATGGGACAGGATTTGGGGTGTACATTAGCTCTGCAGTCACAGACTTATCCAGAAAGAGTGCAATAGCCTCTGTGATGTATTCTGTGGTTCCTCCAATGCTGAACCCCTTTATCTACAGCCTGAGGAACAGGGACATGAAGGAGGCCTTAAAGAAACTCATTCAAATGTCTTCCTTATGATTGATTAGTTCTATGCTTTGTGCTTTCATTTCTAAAATGAATCAGTGTCCAAAGAGTTGGATATTGAGCCAAAGAGTTCTCTTCTACCATTAAGCTCTTAGGGTGCAATGCTTAGCCCTTTTCTGTTCTGGGTATTTCCACTTAGACTTGGAAACTGACTGGGGTCTTCAATTGTTTGGGATTTGGAAAACTCATGCAACCTTTTTGAGTTTAATTCTGTGATCAGATTCCATATAGGCAAAACATAAACAAAGGGTTCTAGCTATAGAGATTTGGGGGTATTTCTCTGAGGAATGTGAGTGACAGTAGGACATTAGGACAAAGGATGAAGATAAGTAAGCATCTCAGTATAGGAGGAGGATTAGCCTCTACTTCAACCCATGTACAGGGCCATTTATGGCTTCCCCAAATTATTGCAATCTTAGTTCCTGTTTTATAACTCATGATATTCTAAACTTTGTCTCCAAGGCTGATAATTACCCTGCCATTTTATGTTGATCTGAGGTAATTCTCAGAGATTATAGTAGCTATGCAATGACAGTCAACTATGACAGTAGGTGGTGGTCAGCTCAGGGGTTATCAATATGCCATTTACATAGCAAAACCACACCCACTAAACTTGGCTTCCTCTTTCATGCATTTGACCTAAATTCTATATTGCAGAATTTGACATAATTATGGAATGTTTGAATTTCATGAAGGAGAATGGGTCTAGCTCAAAACATGGAAAACACTATTAACTGAGTTAGCTCACACCATGAAGCTGATCATCCCGAGTTAATTAAATTTCACAAGCTGAACCTCCACACCCAGTGCAAGCCCCTTATTCACTCCTCCCCCTGTTAGTTTCACCCTAATGCTGCCCCACTGGTCATTGAAAGCCTGGCTCAGTTCCAGGGGTCATATCCCTACATTTTCCAGAAAACAGAATGCAGACTCTGTTTTCCTTAGGTTTTGTTGCAACAGAGAGCCAGCCATCTCATGGAGTTATTAAGAAAACATCCTTTCACATAGCACAGTCCGAATCAGGACCTTTGCTCCTTTGTAAACTAATCACTGTGAGATGAATGGGGTGGTATTCTAGGGTCCCTATGATGAAAAACTCACCCATTTATCTACAGCCTGTGAAACAGAACATGGAGAAGGCTCAAACTCACCAAGGCATAAATCAATACATGAATAATAGTAATATTAGTAATAATAATTAATAATAATAAATAGAAGATCAGTAGAGTAGAATGAGCAGATCAGGAGAAGGAAGAAAGGAAAGGGAAGCTACTAGGAAATGAACTGAATCACGTTATACTTGGTGCATGTCTGAATATGGCATAATGAATCTCACTACTGTGTATTATTATAATGCACCAATAAAAATGGTGAAACACTCATCAGAACATCTTCTACCCAGTTGTTCTTGTGTCACTTGATTTGTACGTAGGCTTCTTATTGATTGCTTTCTTCTGTACTCATGAATGAATGTCAGCATCAGTCAACGGGGGCTGCATTGCACAACACCGTAGCCTGGGAAGGTTCAATATTGGACATTTATTTCTCTAAGGACTGGATGTTGCAAATTCCAAGATCCAGGTGACAGATGATCCAGACCCTGGTGATGACTCTTCATGTGGTTTGCACACTGCTACCTGTTTGTGGTGTCTTCTCTTAGCAGGGACAGGAATTTCTCCACTCTTCCTCTTGTTACAAGGCCATGGATCTCAGGGTGAAGCTCCATGACTTCAGAAAAACCTAATTAATATAACAAGTTCCACTTCCTATCACTATTAAATATGGGCACAAATTTAAATAATCAGAAAAGCATTTACCTGTTGTAAAAGTTACACTTGTAAGTAAGAATTTAAAAAAGGTTTTAGAGCTTTTTATTACCACAGCAACAGTTTTGGCTGACTGATGGTCTACAGACGTTAAAAGGTGTGATATTAGAGCAAGAAAGATACAACAATAGTATTGTTTAGAAAAGGAATTCCAGAAAACATTCACCTGTAAACGAACAGTTTATTTCTGAATTGACCTTACAGGAAACAGATGGATCATTTAGTCAAAGGCCCTAAGAAAAAGAAAATGAATTTGACACGTGTCTTGTGTCAAGGCAAAAATAAATTTCATGAGGTTTCAACCTAAACTGGAAAAGGTAAAACAAAAAATCCTTTATTGAAGAAAGTACAAGTTTCAATATAGAGACCTCCTGAGCACAGACCATGAGGGGAGGTACTTACTAATTAAACCATGGGAATTCTGCACACTGTGGCCAACTAGTGAATACCATGAGGCACAAGCAAAATGAGACAATATTAAATATGTATATGTATGCTATACATATATAGGATGGCTATACCAATTATAAAAGAACAATTATGAATTGCCTTTTTTAGGATATATGAAAAATTCAGTAAATGTATCACAGATACATACTTCACAAGACAGAAAAATAAATGGACAATAATATGTGAATGCACTCTAAGCCTCTTAATGAGAAAAACAAATTAATCAACTTCCATTTTGCATCCTTTATATTATCAGAGTAATTTAAATATTAGAGGATAATATGGAAAATCAGAAATATTTATTGAGAAGGTAAATTGATTCAACTACTTAGCAAATCCTTTGGAACTATGCAAAAATGAAAAGCCACTCTATTACAACCTACAATTTCACCCCTCTATAAAGCAACTTTTTATTTCCTACATTAGACATAAAAGAGAATATGGAAATGACTTTATTTATAAGAAAATAAAATAGATAAAACATTTTATCACCATCAAAAATATTCCTCAGTTCTACTGGCACCATAATGGGAATATTTGGAATAAGAGAGTAACTGCCACACCCAAGAGCACAACAGATTCTGGGGCAAAGTGATGAGAGTAACAGGGAGACAAGGAATCCATCCACTAAGTTTGAATTGAGACACGTGAAATGGAAGCACTGTTATGTAATAAATTGTACAATTATATCTGCACTGGAGATGCAAAGGCATTAGAGGTCTATGGGAATGACAGTTGTGTAAGGGAAAAACAATCAAATACCGACCACATCAATTCCATCATGACCTGCGTGACTACCCCATTTTTTTTCCTGTGTTTTCTCCCTTCTGAAATAATTTGATTACCTGAGAGCCCAGATCATCCACTAAATGCTCCTCCTCCACAGATCCCCTATTGCAAACAATTGCCTTGCAGCAATTTGTCATATAAGTTAGTCACAGTGACTGAGACAGCAGCTGGACACCTGAGAGCCACAACTCAATACACCTCAGAGATGTGATCTGCTTCACCCATGGGAAGGTCACCCACCAGTGGTCCCACGGAAGGACACTCAGTTTCCTGTCTCTGAGATCATGTCCAGGTGACACCTGATGGCAGCATGTTCTGCAAAAACCTGGGGACCAAAAGAACCAGTCCCAGGACGTGGCCCCTTCGTGGAGAGAATCACTCTCTGTTCCAGTGTGTTTCCTGTCTCTGAGTCATTGCAGGAAAACTCGAGTTATTGTTTGAGCTCTTTAACAATTAGGTTTTCTCTTCCTTATTAGGACTGAAGACATCTTCACTGATGAGCTTCATGACCTATCACACCACTGACATCATCTAATTATGCAAATGTTATCAACAATGAAGCTGAGGGTGGTGGATGCTAGTTCCACCTCAGGTGGGCATGGTTTGCCAGGACAGGGCTCAGTGTTTATTTCCCAGGTCATGAAGGTTTACTACTTTGCCTCACATTCGCACTACACTAGAATGTACTTCTATTGGCCCTATACACATAGACAAGCAGAAGTTATATGTAAAATACAACAATGACTTTATTCAAATATTTCCTGTCATTTCTGAGCCTCATATTGCCTTCTTCTGAGCATGCAAAAAAATGTTTAAAATGGTGGTGGAAGGTGCACATCCAGGAAGTGCAGGCAGAACAACTGAGCCCACAGGTCCTGGTCAGGAAGGGGGTTCTAGCAGGAGGCTCCAGTGTTGCTTCTCCACTGGGCAGGGCTGTGGAGTGGGGTGGTCACAAGCTGACTCTATGCAGTCTCCACACCCCTGGGGCTCAATATGCAAGCTCCCTGTTAGACTAGCAATTTCACTACCACTCTGATCCTTGGGGTGAATATCCTTAAAGACCAAGGAAACAGAAGGGAGGCTTTCAGGCTGGCTTGTCCCCTGACCCCAGAAGCCAGGTTCAGATCACCCAGTTCTCTCCACTGTTTCTTCTCTCCTCCATTCATGGTGCTTTTCAATTGAGACTCATGGCAGTTTTCTAGTAAACCCCAAATATATACTTACCAACAAAGAAAATGTAGCTCTTTTATATCTTGTAGACTGAGAGACCTGGACAAGCACATACAGAGGCAGGGATTCATGATGACCATGTAGCTAAGGGGTTGGCAAATGGCCAAAAAGCAGTCAAGACCATCACTGCAAGGAGAAAATTTTCTAAGACAGTAAAAACCAAGACAAAGCAGAGCTGCGAGATGCATTGTGTGTAAGTGATGGTCTTATTCTGTGCTTGGATGTCTACCAGCAACTTTGGAATCATGCTTATGCTTAAGCAGATGTCATTAAATGAGAGGTTGGAGAGGAAGAAGTACATGAGGGTGCAGAGGTGGGAGTCAGAGCTGATGGTCAGGATGATGAGCAGGTTTCCCAGGATGGTGACCAGGTACATGGACAGGAACAGGCTGAAGGGGAGGGGCTGCAGTGCTGGGCCATCTGTCAGGCCTGGGAGAAAGAATTCTGAAACAGCTGTTTGGTTTGTGGGTTCCATGTTGTAGATGAATCTTGTGAAATTGATGGGATGAAAGGTAAAAATCAATGGACCAGCAGGTGCAGCATCACCTAGGAATAGATTAGAATCACCCTGGTAGACTCCTCAATCTTTATATTTCAAGCCTCCAGAAGTATGAGTATGGACATTTCTATTAAGACACCCAGTCTAAGGTAATTGGTTATGATACTCCTACCAACTAATATACTCACCACAATCCCTGC